TTGGAAAAATTATCAAACCATATATTCCCAGAGCAAATATATCTCTCTGTACATCTTCATCTACGTGTGTTTCAACTATCTTTTATAGGTATAACCATGGTACTCCTATGCTTTCCCCTCTTCATTGCAAACGATCCTTTATCCATTTATCGCTCGTGCCAGAAATCTTTGCGAGCTTTGATTTAAACAAATGCCCTTTTATTGATCGAGAATATATTTAGTTTACTTTAATCTTTGGTAGATTCAGCAAAAAATAGTATTCCTCCAGGGTTGGAGTCATGTCCTCTCGGTTAAAGGTGAAGTAGTTATAAGTTGGATTCTAAAACTGTATCATACTTAGAATGAGAACCGAGTCTACCTTGACATATATCAGATGGAATATGTCACCATAGGTTTGTTGAAAAGCATGTTTCTGAGTCAAATTCCAATTTTCCTAAATTACCTTCAATCCATGAAGTTCTTTCTGTTTTAATGAGGCCGATGTATAATCAGAAAGTTCTGACATATATATCATTGGGAGATTATCTCCTTCCTCTTTCTGCTTTGCTTCAGACCAATTCCTTACATCTGCCGGATTTGCTTCTTCTTTTATGAAACTCATTTCTATCATGAAAGTTTTTTCACTTTATCGATACTCACAGATCAAACGCCTTTTCTAATAATATGTAGATGTAATATGAGAAAAAAATAAAACAAAACAGTTAGTCAAAAATAAGTGAATAAATTCAATATAAAAGAAAAGATAAATAAATTGAATCTATTTCTATATTATCTACCCAAATAAAAATTCATCAAAAAGATCTTAATCTACCCTCTTACGTATACGCCTATTTTGGGTACCTACTAATAGACAGAGGTTCGATATGATTATACCTAGGATGACTGATCTACAGTTCACTTATATGCATGGTTTTGGCTCTAACATGAATAGGGTACTCGAATTGTCCTTAATGTTAGTGCCCCTTGGGCTGCCGAACCCTCGATCCACACCCATTACAAGTTTCAAGCGGAACGAGTTCAATTCGAGGGGATTCACTACCTTATACCATACGAAGAATAAATCCATACGAAGCTATAAAGTATGTATCACATGGATTATTTGCTAAAACTCATACGAAGAATAAATTCTTACAAGAGTAAAGCACTCACCCCAACTAATTTGGATCAAAGCTCGGGTCTAGAGCTCATGTTATGCCAATACTCGTGATGTGTGTGAAGAGGAACATTCAAACCTTTGAATCAATAGGAAAGCAAAGCAACTCAACAAAAACTTGAATTGAGCTGAAAGCACAAATAAAAATGTTAGTAAGACAATAATAAAATGAAGCAATTAAAAAATTCAATAAAAGGATCATAAGTTAACTAAAGACTCAAACTTATAATTTCCACCAAACGACAATGCGTAATCAACTTACAGCCTGACTCTCTAAGAAAAGTCCCTAGTGGTGTCGCCAAGCTGCCATAACTATTTTTAAGGTGGAACAATTATTTATTGTTTTAAAAACAGATATGATTTTAATTTTGGAATCTTCAGTAATTTTTGAATTAAATTGGATAGAGTCTCCATCGACCTTTGGGTTAGGTATGTCGAACACCTAAAAACTTCTTTTAAAAACAATTTTAAGAAAAATCATTTTTTAAGACAAAAAGCTGGTCTGTGATTACCAAAAATTCGATTAAAACGGGTTCAGGAATCGGTTACACGAGGGGAAGGATTAACACCCCCATAGTGCCCAAAATTGGTACTGTGTCGCTTACACATTGTCATAATGGTAGAAATCATTTCCAGCGGGGAGTTCATAATGAGAATAACTCATCCGACGAGGAAGAAGAAGTTCATAATGAGAAGAGCATGTTCAACATTGGATCAACATTTCCAGAGGAGAGTTCATAATAAGAAGAACTCATCCAGCGAGGGAGAAGAATTTCATAATGTGAAGAACTTGTTCAACCTTGGTTCAATTTCATAACAGAAGGAGATGGATTGACATCCCCAGCGAAGAGTTCATAATGAGAAGAACTCGCAACTAGAAGAACAATGATTGAGCTGAAAAATAGTGCTCCTATTAAATAAAAGGTAAATTTAAGTAATTAAGGCACAAATGTTTGGGTTAAAATAAACAATCGTTAAGTCCATGACTATAATGTCAAACACCATAAACATTAAATGGCATGAAGGCAAATAACCATGAAAAATATTACTGAAATATAGAAATGGTAAAATAGCAAAACAGGGACATATGTTTTGAGGTGTCATTCAAATGTAACAATTCGTGACCAAATTGCAAGAACACCTTAAAACTACGAGTACAAAACACAAATAAACCCCTAAAATACACAACATGTATAAAAACAGAAAATAACCAAATCAACCAAATGAAAAAAATGGTGTAGAGTACATTTTAGCCACTAGTTCATTTTCATTTGTTTCAATTTTAGATCCTTAATCACTGGTTATTCTAATTTGCTCACCATGAATGTTTTGATTTATTTCAAATTAATTAAAGTTGTTTTCTCTTACTTGCAATTTAATCCTTACATATTCATTTTTTTTGCTTGTTTAATTTTATTTTAATAAGTTTTGTTTATTTAGTTAAAAGAATTTAGAATTTATCAAGATTAAGTTTTAAGCCTAAATTTTAATTAGTAATTAGGATTTTACTTTAGTTTTAATTAGGAAACAATTCGTTTCGGGTTTTATCATAAAATGTCTGATTACTCGAGTCGATTTTTTAAATCTTTAATTTATTAATCTTCGAATAATCTTTAAAATTAGTTTAATTAAATTACTTACTTTTAATGATTATTAGGGCTTAAATTTATAGATTAACCCTTTAAATCTTAAGAATTATAGACTTAGGTCCTTAAGTTTTAGAATTTTATATTTAGGTCTCATAATTGTAGTTTTTTTTATCCTTTGACTATGTAGTCCTCAAGCTTAATTAGAGTTTTAACATTAACATAATTAAATAGAATAAATATTGTCTCTACTTTTTAGATAGATTTTAATATAGTCCCCCTAATTTAGGGAATAATCTGAGTCGACCCTTGCATAAATGCTCAAGGGACCACCTCAGTTATTCGATTCAATAATTGGTTTAAAAACTAAGGTTAATATTAGAACCTACAATTCTAGGTTTGAGCCTTTAGATCCTTTAACCTTCATAATTTGACACTTTAAGCTAGAAATAACCTTAATTTACTTTTAGTTTAATTAGGATAAATAAAATTTTGTTTGATTGCATTTTATTTTTAACTCTAAGGCATTGTTTACTTATTAAGGAATTAATAGTATATCTCCCGCAACCATACTCCGAGAGTGACTACTGGTAATTCCCGAAATAAGTCGACATCCTTTTCAAAACTGCATCATGATTTTCTAAAAATAAGGCAATGTCCGATTATTAGGCACAATAGCTGATCTTCAGCGTTTATGCTAGGGGGAGAATGTTATCGGTCTCAATAAACGAATACCCCTTTTCAACTTTTGCATCTGTAATGATTTTTAAATTAAATAAAGATCGAACTCAAAAGTTTTGATTTTAAATATAGGGTAATCAACTAGGTACCAATTTTTGGGCGCTTGTGGTGGTACTAATCCTTCCCTACGCGTAACTGTCTCTCGAACATGATTTCTGGATTTTTGCAAACCTTAAAACTTGGTATTTTGATAAAAATAAAATGTTTTATTAAAGTCACCCGGTTTTTATGGTGTCCCAATCGTACCTTAAATGATTGGTGGTGACTCATCACATTTTGAAACCCTTTTCAAAAGAGAAAACCCCAAGTCGGTATCTGTTTTTCCCCGCCCGAGTAAAAAACGGTGTCGACAAGTACCAATGGATACCTCTTTTAATTTCAGATTTTTTGCCACAAAAAACGAGCCATGTTTCCTTCCAACTCTTTGCACAATGTCTTGGGGAAAAGAAAGCAATTGTGTACGTTGGGATGACTTGGAGAACATATTTTATGAAAACTTCTTTACCCCCTTGAGATAAAACTCGAACACACCAATTTCGGATTCCACTACAAAATTTGCCCTTCAGGTTAGCAAAAGCTCCTTTCTTGTTCATTCCTACAATAGCCGGGAGTCCAAGGTACATTTTTGGATTCACCGAACTCTCAACTTCTAGTATACACTTTACAATCCTTCTATTTTCCTCTATAACATTCGAGCTGAAAAAAGTTTTCGACTTATTGAAATTAATAAGTTGGCCCGAACACTCACCATAAACATACATAATTCTTTTAACCTGGGCTGATGATAATCTCCACGAAGATGAGAATATCATCAGCAAACAAGATGTTCTAAATAGATGGAGCATACTGATTAACCTTTATACCTTTATAGTCCCCCTGCACCGTACTTCTGATTAAAACAAAAAGACTTTCACTGCAAATTAGGAAAATATATTGACTAAGAGGATCACCTTGTCTTAGTCTTCTCTGAGGCATAAAATGCTCCCCCGAAACTCCGTTAACGATGACTGAATAAGAAACAATAGTGATACAATGTTTTAGAATCACAATCCAACCCGGAGCAAAAACACATTTTATTCATTACAGTCTAAAAGAAATCCCATTCAACTCTATCGTAAGCTTTGCTCATGTCCAACTTCAGTGCAAAATAACCATGTCTACCTTCCCTTTTCTTCATAAAAGAGTGCAATAATTCATAAGCAATTATTATATTATTAGAAATCAATCGCCCAGGTACGAAAGCACTATATGCTTCATCAATACAAAAATCTAGGTAACTCTACATTCTAAAGACTAACATCTTTGCCACAATTTTATAGAGAACATTACATAAACTGATTGGGCAAAACTAGGTCAGTTTCGTTGGAGACGCGATTTTCGAAATCAATACTATGTGAGTATGGTTGATATCATCCATCCTCTAGTGTCCTGCAAGAAGATCAAAACAATAATTCGATATCAGTCAAATGTCAGAAGCGTTGATAGAACAACACACCTGTTTTGTATTCTAATGACTCCTTTTACGGAGAGAGGGATTTTACTGCATTCATAACCTCTTCCTTTGTAAATGACCAAAGTAAATCAGTATTTATTTCACTCAAAATAAAAGTTTCGATACCCTCCAAATCTGTAGTATTTAAATCATGAGTATTTGAATGAAATAAATCCAGAAAATACTCATTTGCCAGTTTTCCCATATTCTTCGATTCATCCATCATCTCACCATCCTCGGTCTCTAGAGCCTTTATTTGATTGTTCTTTTTCTTATTTGAAGCAAATCGATGGGAAAATGACGTGTTATTATCACCATTCTTTAACCAATTTGCACGAGCTCTTTGTTCCCAATACAATTCTTCCTTGTCCATCTCTAATTTTAATTGCAATCTCTTGTCAATTATGTCTCCTAAAACCTCGTCTGTAGGGGCCAATTCCACTAAATCTGCTAACTTCCTCTTCAAATCATATGTTGTCAAGCGATTTTTATGACAAACCTCCTTGAACCAATTATCCAGCTCGTGACTCACAAAGTTCAATTTTTCAGGAACTGACCCTGTAGCTTCGTTCCAGTCTCGATACCGTGTCACCACAAGAATCTTCAAGCAATCAAGAATCTTTGAATTTAAAATGCCATCGCCTAAGGACATTTACCTTGGTTACCAAACTAAGAAAAAGAAGACAATGATCAGAGATGATATGTGGCAAGTGTCGCAAAGAATAATGAGGAAAATGCGATTTCCAAGAATCTGTAGCTACACCATAATCTAACCTCTCCCTTATATTTATTTCAGCTCTTTTTCCTCTTTCCCAAGTATACCAAGCACTCGAATACCCGGCGAATTTCCCGAAAAATCACCCTTAAAATCATATTTTTTCTGTTAGGCACCGTTCATGCTTTATTTCCCGATCTAATTCCCTTTGCAGGAAGGCGCACCCCCTGAAGTGCGCCTTACGTTGATCTGGCGCCACATGGGGTAAGGCGCGCCCCCTGAAGCGTGCCTTACGCTGACATGGACACAGGCTGGCAAAGACGCGGCCCCTGGGGCGCGCATTATGCCACGTAGGGGTATAGCGCGGTGCAGGGGCCACGCCTTTGCTTTAATTCTGACACAATTATGCAAGGCGCGATGCAGGGGGCGTGTCTTTGCTTTAAGTCTGAGACAATTATGTAAGGCGCGGTGCATGGGTCGCGCCTTGTATAATTACACTAACTCCTCTCAGTTATAAATACCCCAACTTCCTCTCAACCGAAAAACTAATACAAGAATCCTCTCACTAGTATAACACTTGGCAATCCTCTTATATTTGATGCAGAAGTTCGTTCGATCTTTCGTTATAAGGTAATTTTGTTATAATATTTTTTTTATAATTATATATGATTATTTGAAAAAAAATATTATACTAATTGCTTTCAATTAATTTTTATGTTTGTAAAATTGGAAAGCGGGAGCATACATTGAAATATTTTTGCCGATAAGGTAATAATATAAAATTATATTATTTAAATTATTATTTGTGTTTGTAAAATTTTATTTCCTTATATTTTAATTCATATATTTTTTATTTAATTAAGCTTGTTTCAGGTTTATTTTTTTCAGATATAAGATTGTCTCACTTTCAAACTCTAAGAATTTCGCGATTTCAGCTATTGTTTATTACAATGGAGAAATTCGGGAAGATAAAACGACCTTGTTTTCGTATCAAATCATTATGTTAAAATATCGTTCAAGAGAAACATAACTCTTGAGGAGCTGATAACGAAGATTTCAAGAAAGGTTCATGTTGGAAGTACTAGAAGAATGTCATCGCTTCAGTACATATTTCCAACATCATTGTTGCCATTAACTTATACAGCTTTCGAACTATCGAACAATGATGATGTTGAAATGATGGTTGATTCTCAAAATAATTATTCAGACGCCGTTACGAAGATGTATGCAAAGTTTGTTGAAGTGTGTGTTTTTCGGGGTCTGTCATTAAGCTCCCACTATGGGCTAGCTGAACAAGCTGATCAAGTTGACAGTCCAACTACAATAATGTGTAATGATTTTAATGCCATAATGGGAAATTCGCATCATGGTGTCGTCCCATCAACTTCAATGAAGATACATTCATCAGCAACTCCTTACGATATGTATCGAGGTAGGTCCACGAATAATTCGTATGGCAACATCACGTCCAGTTCAAGGGTAAGGCATTCATCTGTCAATTTCTTTGACCTTAATATGGAGATGCCCTCGATGAAATAATCTATGCAGTTTTTATTTGACAAGATGGCTTCAAGCTCTAGGGAGAGGCATTCGAATGCGAGCTTTTTCGATCTCAATGTCGATATGCCTTCTAGTTCAAGGGGAAGGCATACAAGTAGTAGGTTTTTCGACCTAAATGTGGAGAACATGGAGGAACCATCATCTCCACCAGAAGAACTGGATCGTGAGCTAGGTGCAGATGGTGCTAAGACTGGACTATTCATTCACCCAGAATCACTGCAATTCAACTCCGATGATGTAGATGAAGTTCCCTCAAATGTGGCACAAACTGACCCTCCAGCACACATGTATGAAGCTGATTATGGTGCAATGTACGAGCCAGAATTTGCAGATATGCCTCATCTCGGTGACTATGGATATCACTCATCAATAAATAATGGTGTTTTATCTTTAGGCATAGAGTTTTCAAGAAAAGAAGAAGCGATGATGGCTATAAAAATTACAATATCTGTAATTCTGTTCAATCCAGAGTCGACCGCTCCATGACAGAAAAATATGTATGCCACTGTGCCTTACGCAAAAACGGATGCAATTGGATGGTTCGCGCATCGAAGAGGAAGAGGAAAAACAATAGATGGGAACTAACGGTATACAACGGTCCTCACACATGTTGTGCTGGAGGGATCAACCAAGATCATCCCAACTTGGACTCTGAAGTGATATGTCAAGCCATCATGCCCATGGTAAAAGCAAGCTCCCATATAGTTATTGCAGTGTTGATTTCTGCTATACAATCACAATATGGGTACACTGTCTCCTATAAAAAGCTTGGTTGGCAAAGCAAAATGCCATTGTCAAACTTCATGGCGAATATGATGCATCTTACAACGAACTTTCAAGTTGGTTTAGGGTGGTACGGAGGTTGAATCCTGGGACAATTGTAGACTTCGAAGCCTCTCATGCATACCATAATGATCGAGTTCTTTGCGATCTATGCCAATTCTACAGGGTTTTTTGGACTTACCCACAGTGCGTTAATGCTGTCAAATACTACAAGCCTGTGGTCCAGATCAACGGGACTTTCTTGTATGGAAAATACAAGCAAGTTTTACTATTGGCAGTTGTCCAAGATGGTAATCGCAACATTCTTCCAGTTGTTTTTTCTCTTGTTAAATGAGAAGATACAAATTCTTGGGCTTTTTTCAAGCTCTAAAGTATCCATGCTCTCATGTGATAGTAGCTTGCTCGCATACCCGTCAAGACTATAACCGTTTTGTGGATCCCATATACCTACTATCAAAAGTTTTTAAGGTATGCAAATTTGAGTTCCCCCTATATGTAATGACAAAGACCCTGATGAGGTTCAAAATTGGGTTCCGATTGTACTATATCTGAGTTTATTAAGGGAACGTGGTCGTTCAAAATCCACTCAAATTCGTTGTGATATGGATATTTGAGAAACATATAGACAATACAAAAAATGTGGGTATTGTAGAAACTCAGGACACACTAGAAGAACATGTCCACTTCTTTTGTCATCAAGTAACCATTGATGAGGAACTGATGTCATTTGATAACCACTAATGATGATTAAAAAACAATTCAATGAACACGGGATTCGACGTTGGCGTTATATGTGATTATAATAAAAAAGATAATAAGTGACAAACTTAATAAAGTTATAGAACACATATATTAAATATTATTCAACTAATAACAATTTGGTATTTGAATATAATTTTAAATACAAAAAACTTACAATAAGTATTAAATGGTAAATAAAAAAAATTACAATAACTGGTATAAATGGTAATAAACAAAATTAATTAACAAAAAGGCCAACAAAATTAACAAAATAAATTAAGTATTAAATGATAAATAATAATAAAAATTACAATAAAGAAAGTCCAATAAACAAGTAAATACAAATATAAAAAACTATTGATGTTTGCAGTGCGAATGTGTTCCGCATGGCGGTGGCTGTCAATCTCGAGAAGGATTTCTTCGTATAACTGGTTGTGACTCCTCACTGTCATCAAAATCGTCGTCGTCGACGTTGTCAAGAGCATATATATTTTGTTGATTAGGAACTGATGATGATGTAGCACCTCCATAGAATAAGGACCATGCAGGTGTATAACTGACTAACCCACCGCTCATAGATAACAGTGAAAACTCATAAAACTCAAACATCGATGAATGAGAAAACTGTATAGGAGGTGTCTGTGCGGCAACCATCAGTGATGAGGTTGCACCTGCCAAATAACCAATATATGAACCCCAAGTCAGATTTGCTAACATAGACTCGTAATATCCTCCATGAGGGGTCATATAACTCTGTGACGGTAGCGGGGTAATAAAAACCAAGATACGGTGGCGGCGGCGACATCTAGTAAGGGAAAGGCGGTGGCGGTATCAGATATGGCTGCGGGGTATAGGTCGCTGCAGACGGTGGCTGCTATGAAGGTTCTACTGGTGTAGCTGAGGACGAACCAGAAACACCTGCTCTTTGTCTATGAGTCGGGGACGATGGGGTTGTGACGGTGCATGTCTATGTCGACGTCGCTGAAAGCTCCGCCCTCATGCATCCTCGAAAAGCAGAAACGGTTTCCCGTTACTATTGAACCACTCATAATAACCATCTACAACCGTCAAGAGGTCATCATAAATAGGCTCTCTACGGGGAAGGCGCCGATGTCGATCCTCCCACATCACAACCCACTCATGATGCTTCACCAGCCAATCTGTATCCGATTTGCCGCGTCGATCTGTGCCATGCAACTCGTCCATATTGCGAGGTGCTTCCGGAATTGGTTGTACAAAACCAAATTGCCGGAGCACGCGATCAGTGGAGTGCCACTCGACGATCGCATAACAGATCAAAGGGACCATCGCCATCCAAACATCTGATGGGCCCCTTAACTCAGGTGGGATGCACATCCTCACATCATCATGACAATATGGAACTCATTCAAACTAAAACAAATATATATAGTTTTTATCAAAATAATAATCTAATTATATAACTATAATACAAAATCGATTTTTAAACATTAAAATGCATACCTCTGTGCGAGCCTTCTGATCGATTAGCACCCTCATTTTTTCTAAATCATCAGGTAGCTCCCGATGATTTTTCTTGTTAGTAGACCACCTATTCAAGGGAATTTTTTTTATTATACACTGTATAAAATGATTAATATACGAAATCAGTTTTATAATTACCTCAATAGTAGCGGAAATATGAACGGGTTACAGGACATAAAAATGGCAATTGATACCATGCCCAAGACTGCAGCAGAAGGAGACATCCGCCGATAGCATTTTTCCTGTAGTTAGTCGCTCAACACATCTCCCTATACAGGAAAGCCAAAACTGTCGAGCCCCAACTCTGTGATTCAGCCAGATGAAAGTTGTCGAGATGTCGCAACCACATA